CCCCCTTCATACATTGTGGCCCTAGCTAGGAACACAGGTGATTAGCACCAGAAACCCTATATAAAGTCAGGAAACTTTAGTAATATGTGCCACGAGTTCCCGGCTGTATTTGACGAATTGCTCGGTTGCTATATGGGGCCACCGGTCACCCTGGACCTTGATCCCATGGTGCGTCCACTCTGCCTGAAAGCCTAGCGACCCCTGTTTGCACTCCGGCCCAAGATTGAGGCAGAGCTCGACCACCTAGTCAGCCAGGGGGGTACTGGAGCCAGTGCCCCACGCAAAATGGGAATGCCCTATCATAACTCCCGTCAAACCCAACGGGGACGTCAGAATCTGTGCAGACTACAAATGCACTATCAATAAGGATCTCCAAGACCACGCGTATCCTGTTCCCGTGGTGAGCCATGTCCTAGTGTCCCTGGCCGGGGCCAAAATCTTTGGCAAACTGGACTTGGCACAAGCCTACCAGCAATTGCCAGTAGATGATGCCACAGCAGATGCCCAGACCATCGTAACTCACCAGGGGGCATTTAAGGTCAAATGTCTGTAGTTTGGGGTTAGTGTAGCTCTGGGGATTTTCCAGAATTTTATGGACTGTTTGATGAAAGGAATCCCTGTACAACCTTTCTTTGATGATGTTCTAATTGCAGCGCCATCTCCCAAAGCCTTTTCCAACCGCCTTAGAGTCGTCCTACAGCGCTTCAATGCAGCCGGCCTTAAAGTAAAGAGAGAAAAGTGTTTCCTTGGGGACCCCAGTGTCAAGTTCCTGGGATTCCAACTCAACGTCCACTGAATCCACCCCACACTGGACAAAATAGTGGCCAACACCTACACCCTCCTCCAAACCTGAGCTGCAGGCTTTTCTCGGCCTGCTCAACTTCTGTCACTCGTTCCTCCCCCACAAAGCAACCGTGGCCAAACCCCTACACCGTCTCTTGGACAAACACATGCAGTGGAAGTGGGGGCCCGCTCAGCCTGCGGCATTCCGGGCCATTAAAAACGTACTGACTTTCAATGCGGTCCTGGCCCATTTTGATGAGTCCCTTCCCGTGGTGCTCGCCTGTGATGCATCGCCCTATGGGGTGGGGGCAGTCCTGGGTCACAGACTGGCCGATGGCTGCAAGGTCCCAGTAGCATATTACTCGTCCACCTTGTCGGCAGCGGAGTGTAACTACACTCAGATAGACAAGGAGGCGCTGGTGATTGTGGCAGGGGTGCGTAAATTCCATGACTACCTGTACGGCTGCCCCTTCACGGTCCTCACGGATCACAAACCGCTGCTGGGCCTCCTGACCCCGACTGCCAGACACCCAGATGATGTCTCCCAGGGTGCTACAATGGTCTATCTTTCTCGCTGGCTACCAGTAAACCCTGCTGCACAGGCCAGGCAAGGTAATGGGACACGCCTACGCCCTCAGGCACCTTCCGCTGCCCATCTGCGACCTGGACCCAGCCCCTGTGCACCAGATCTTGCTGCTGGAAGACCTGCCCGACCAGCCGGTACAGGTGATGGAAGTTTCCAAATACACCAGGAAGGACCACGTCCTCTGCCATGTTTGGAATGGGTGGGAAGGGGCTGGCCCACAGGGCATGTGGGCCGGGAGTTCGCAGTGTTCTCTTCCCCCTCGGAAGAACTGTCCACCCACAAAGGCTGCAT